GGAGCCAGAGGACGCGGCGCTGAAGCAGATGCCGAGCGGTTCCGTGCCCGAGGTCTGCAGGCAGCAGTGAGCAGGGGGTGACGCACGCGTCCCTGCCAGGACATCGTGCCGACTGTCCCCAGCCTCATTCCCTATACCCTGGGCAAGAGGAGGGCCTGGCACCCAAAGGTGTCCTCAAGACCAGCCAAAGCCACGGAGTGCTCTGCCTTCGCCCTCAGGAAGGGAAGCAGCTCAGGGCGAGGGTCTCAGTCATCCAACCATCCCACCCTGCAGCGCCTGGGGGACCGTGCCGGCAGGACCATGCTGGGACCCCACAGCCAAGAAGGGGCTCTGCCCTGGGAGCTCCAAAAGAGGGGAAGAGGGCTAAAAATGCTGGGGCCTGGCCCCACGTGCAGCAGCTGCGCCGGGTCTCTGCGCCTCAAGGCACCCGTCTCGCCATGACCCCTGGCAATGCCGATGCTGCGGGGGGAACTGAGGCAGGGGCTGGCCCTCCATATGTCACCCCACTCCCACAGCGGGGCACCCACACCCAATACAGCATCACCCCTCCAGCACCCAGCACGGTCCCTCCCAGCTATCGCCCCTCCATCCGCAGCGTCACACTGCCCAGCTTTAATCCTGTGAATAAAGGGTGGCAAATTAGCCGGCAATGCTTGGGAGCCACTCAAACCGGATCGTAAATCATGTGCTCGAAGCCGCAAGCGGATAAAAGAGGCCGAAGAATTTCTAACGAGGCAAGACGGGCAGGAGCCGGGGCATATGAATGAAGCTGCCTGCGCGTAACTCGATTTGCGGCTCAGCTGATAACCGCCGCCGCTCGGCCCTGCTGAAAACACGGGTTAAAAGCCAACAGCGAACCCCCAAATTCACCTTCCTGCCCCGCTTCGCACCCGTGTCCAAGCAGAAGGAATTTGCTCACAGGGCGGGGCCGTGCTGCCCCATGCAATTGGGGAAATGGTGGATTTGGGCCTGAAATAACAAGTCACCCCATGTGGGCATCACTGCAGGTGCCCGAGCGCCCACAGGGCAGCGGGCTGACAAACATGCCCTCAGTCTTGCAAAGCCTCGCTGTTATTTGGGCATGCAACAAGCTAGCGAGGGTGGAGACAACTCCAGTAAATCATGACTGAATTTCAGAAATCACACATTGGGACGCCCAGGCCGGCTCTTGGCGCTTCGTAACAGCACCGACTGCCTAAACGAAGCCGACGGCTGAGTCCTCCAGGATGATCTTGGGACAAAAATCCCCAAAACCACGTCAGCTTGGAAAACAAAGCAGGAAACCGAAATGCACAGTCCCACAGCCTGGGCGCGACCGCCCTCCGGCACGGCTCCCCAGACGTCCCCACGCTGGGGACAGGGCTCTGCCAGGCACCTCCAGCTTTTGCCCTCACGAGGGCTTGCAGCAATGCCAAAAAACTGTCCGTCTTGCCCCAGCCCTGCAGTTCGGGCATGGATGGATGGACGATGGACAGACAGACTGATGAGGGACCACTTCACGCGCGAGCTCCCGAGCAGGTCCCTGCGCACGGCCCCGCGGGTGCAGCGAACTCAAGATTTCTGGGTTTAATCGATGCTGCGTTGATAAGAGGGGCCTTGCTGCAGCTAGCAGGGAGCAGCGAGGCAACAGCCGCACCGATGCCGGTCCTGAGCCGCTCTCCCGGCCCGTGGGACACCGGGCAGCCGCAACGCCGGGCTGGGGACCAGCCATCGCCTGGGGGCTCCCGTCAGGAAAGGACTCGGAGAGCATCACTCCCTTCCTAACCCCCCCCCACAAGCACTTGCTTGCAAAACAGCCTTATTTTGATGCCTGTATATATATCTGAGTGCCCTAATTGTTATTAAACATGACTGTTATGACATGGATGTTCTTAACGCCTTCCGGCAGCATTCTGGGGAGCTGGTCCCTGCCTCGGTGGGACTGGTGGCAGCCCCTCGGAGAGCTCAAGCTGCACCAACCTGCTCAGCCACGGCCTCCCGTGGGAAGCGGCACTTACGGGGGAGAGATGCTCCTCCCTCGGCTGCAAAAAGCAACGCTACGAGCTGGATCTTGCCCCAGAGGGAAAACTGAAGGGAAAGCCCGGGATAACATCAGTGGGAAGTGGGGCAGGGTCCCTGCACCCCCTCCCTACCTGCTCTCTGCTCTGCAGGAGATCAGGACGAAAATAATCCCTTTCACCTGGCTAATTGTTTAATAAGGAAAAGGGAGAATCACTCAACAAGAAAAAAAATATCCTCATAAAAATATGACCCAAGTAATACAAGAGGACTCTAAGGGATGGGGGGACAATATTCCTGTAAAGCTTTTAATCATTCACGGTCACGAAGAGCAGTGACAGCAGATTTAGAACGGGGGGAATATAAGGGAAAGAAAAAAACTTCACGGCAAGTGCTAGGCTTATTCAAATCAAATTAAGACGTACGGCTTGAACTTGTTTGTCTAATCAAAGGGAAAGTAATCTTTAGGAAAACTGGGGTAAACCATTCTTATAGCAGTTAGGGCCGGTGGCAGGGAGCAAGGTGGGTAGGATGGGTGCAGAGCATCCCACCCCCCTTCCCAGGGCTCCAT